CGCCTAGAAATGAGACCCTGTTTAGAGATGACTGAGAGGCTCCGCACAGGGATCGATGCCTCACATTCCTGGGGGGACAGCCCCCAAGGGGATGCTCAGCACTCACCAGCTCTGCAGGTCCTGTGTCTCTGCGGGTCCAGCTGCACAGCCCCACACTAGGAGGCTCCTAACAGGGAGAAGGGCAATCCCTGTGGTGCTTCTGCCCCTCTGCCTTAAGTAGGCTATGGGCGACTTTTTGAAGAAAAGGGACCAGAGCAAGGCAAACACAACGCCCAAATGCCAGAGCTGTTCCCACCCACCGGGATCAAAGTGAAGGCTACTAATATGAAATATAAATCTATTTGATCCTCCCAATAGATCAATTTGTCGTGCGCCAGTGACACAGCTGCGAGTCCAGCCGTGTTTGTTCAATAGCATATGGCAGGCCTGATGCTGTCACCCACTTGCTGCATGCTGTCTAGGTGGCAGAGATGAATGGCTCCGACCCTGAGAAGGATATTGATGTTTGCACTGCTGTAACAAAGAAGCTGTTTAAAGAAGGAACCGTACAATGCAAGTTTCAGAGATCGATCTCAGCCCTTTGGACTGTTTTCCTAAGGAAGCTTAATTTTGAAGGAACCAACTGACCAGCTTGGTGAGTTTATTGATTCCAGTAATAATCGATCATTGGAGCACGCAGCTCCACATTACCACCCAGGACTGACACAGCCGCGGTAGATACATGGGAGTTTTGTTCTCTTGTCGTTCTCCTGTTCTATAAGTTACTCTGTTGTCCTGTTGCAAGCTGCCCTGAGCCTTTGTTGGGAAGGCAGCATATAAATCAAACCAATAAGTATAGAAAGACTTATGGTGTGGAGTCCGCTGTCCCCCTTCTACAGCTTACAGAATTGTGTGTTTTACTTCCTTGAACTTTGGGCATTGGCTTTTTACCTTGCCGTGTGCATCTCCCAGGAGTCAGCAAACTCAGGTACACTCGCAGCTTTTCCTCCTCCTCACACTCAGTACAGACTTCATCAACATGGACACAATGTTTTGCCCCTTTGGTATGTCCTAAAAGCAGTCCAGTGGTCCTGGCAGCTCTACCACTTATCCATGTCCTTGGTAAAGTGCAGGGCATGGGCACCCTGGGAACAGCATGAAGGATGGGGTGAAAGGGAGGACACAAGACTGCAGACCGTTACCAGCATGTGCTGGAGCTCTGGAGACACAAAAAGTTTCTTGACTGGGAGCTTACAATCATGTGCAGTCTCACCAGCCCCGAGCACTAGCTGCTGTCTCCAGAAACCCACATCAGAAGACACTTGGCCTTCAATAAATCATTGCAATATTAGCCTTCTGATTCTTGAGCCATTACAGTACTCAGGTCACGCTTATAAGATTTCGCTGTTGGAAATCCAACAGCCAGAGTTGGGTTTAGCTCCTTGAATGAGGGCTGAGATGTGCACTTCTTTACTTGATGAATAGCAGCTTCGAGGAAATAGTCCCTTCCTTTTCTTAGAAATAAGGTGCATGTGGAGGAGGTTAATCTGTACAAAAGGCTTCTGGATTCCATGTCCCTTGCTGGCTTCATACCCAGGTCACATGCCCTTCTGTGTAAAATCTTTGGCCAGACCCAAGTTAACAGGCTGTGGACAGTCATGGGGTGACATGCTCTGGCTTAAGATATGCAGGGGGTCAAAGGGGGTGACTTTAAAGGTCCTTCTTGACAGCAACAGTTGACAGTGAAGTATGCTCCCACTGAGGCCCCCAAAATGTTCCCCACAATAACTCAGGCTAGAACTCAGTCCGGTTAACCCCTTTTTGCCACAGAGGGCAAAGCTGCAGCTAGAGGCTGTTGGCAATTTCCTGTCAGAAGGTTTTTTTCAGCAAAAAATTACTTTTCTGCAAGACTGAAATTTTCTACAGGAAAACTTTCATTTGCCCAAATTTTGTTAGGATATTGGCTGGATAAGCTTCATGTTAGGCTGGCTTCAGTTGCCGTCCAGGGGGTCTCATGTCCCATTCTCCCCTGTGAGCCTGGCTGCTTCATTGCACTGCATACGCCTGCTTGCTTTGCATTCCCTTCTCTGCCCCAACTGCACTGTGCATTGAGGGAACCACATGCCTAGGAAGGTGCTATGGGGTAGGACCTGCCATTAGGGGGAAGGCGGGGGTGGAGAACATGAAAATTCAGCTTCTGTAACCCATCATAGCACCACAGGTGATGTTTGCAGTCAGACTGTTTTGAGAAGAAAGATTTTGGATGATTTCAACAACAACAAAAAAGAAGGATTTTGACCTGAGAACTTTGAAACATCTTGTTTCTCTCCAAATATAGCTATTTGGACTTTCTGTCCTGATTTGAATAAAACCAGTATTGAGATGCTGGAGTTTCCCTGTGATAGAAATTCGGATTTTCACCCCACTCTGGTCGCAACCTGCCTTCGCTCCCCTGCAGCTGTTGAGAAAGCGCCCGCAGGGATTCTGGAAAGCTGCTGGTGTCACCAAGGTCTGAGATCACCTTTGGGCAGGTAACGGCTAGTGGCTTTGTGTCCCCATGTGCCTGTCCCTACGGTCAGGGTGGATTACTGAATGGGCCCACAGACCCAATGACACACAGGGCCTCAGAACTTTGCAAAGCTCCCATTGCTGCCGTTTTTGGGCAGCCGCAGCTCAGTCAGTGCAGGCAGTGCTGGCAGTACCCTGTGGGCTGCTGGAAGACCTGTGCCACCACCGCCATAGAGAGGGGGTGCACTGCTGGCCCAGTCCTACAGCAATAGCCTTGGTGCCTGACCAGCCTCCTCCTCCTGGCATGGCAGCCTCTTCAGGGAGTGACTCTGAGGAAGTGCCGTGCAAGCCCAGAAGTGCCGGGAGCACCACAGCTAGAGGGAAAGGAGCAGCAGGGGCAGGTGGCCCGCGTGGCTCTGCTCTTCCCTCAGCTGCTGGTGCTGGGAGTACGGTGGACCGATACCACTGCCAGCATTACTGGTCAGGGGGAGAAGAGCGGGGCTGCAAGCAGGCCTAGAAGAGGGGATCTCAAGGGTATGATTGTCCTGGGCTCCTATGCTCCTAGCTATGAGATTCATCTTTCTCAAGAAACAGTAAGAAGCCAGCTATCTGAAATATGGTAAATGCCGTGTGTTCTTCTTGTGCCTTTTGTGGTTGGTTACAGTCAGCACTGGCAATTTTCTATCGGCAGGGGAGGGGGCGGGGGGCAATCCTTGTTGGGCCCCATGCTGTTTGGTGCCTGGATCCCAACAATTTGTAGTCCTTTGTATATGGTACATGACTCCCTGTTGGCCTTACCCAGGCTGCAGTGGGTTTCCCCCGGGTAACGGTTTGCGCTGCCTTGCATTACCAGAGCAAATAAATGACTCCCATGGGACAGACACTAATGATGGAGAAATCCCTAGCGAATCTTTGCGGTTAAATACATGGGGACCCCTCCCCACCAGGACAGCTACACCAAAGCTGCAGACAGGAAGTAGGCAGCAGAGCCTGCAAAGCATGTTGCATACTACCAGCACTGAAGAGGGCACTTTCACTGATCTCAGAGCGTGTACCATGTAGGGTAAATAGAGAGCCTCCCCATCTTCAACAAGGACTCAATGAAACTGTCCCAAGATCAGGCAGTCATACAGCTTTTTTGCTTTAACCACTTACCACTACTGCCTCCCAATATTGAGGCTAGAACGCAAGCCCTTATTGTGGGTCCTAATGCTTAGACCTTCCCCAGTGCACACTGGGCTCTGACTGTGTAGTTCATCCCAGAGGATGTGGTTATGCTCCCCCTTAGTAATCATGGCATCTCAGAAGTTTCCTTCATTTTCCTCCTTGCCCCCTGCTCTCTAGAAATGGCTAGGTAAACTCTGCCTGACTTCACTCTGGCTTATTCTGGTGCAACACAGTGTCAGTGAAGTTACCCCCAGCCTCTGGAGTTACTCCAGGTTTACAACAGCCAGCCAGAGCCCCATATGGGGTAACTGAGAGCTCTACTGATTTACAAGGAGCTTGACTGATTTAACCCAGCTTAAAGTTGCTTGCAAAGCAGGAAAAAAGAATATTGGGGCCAGCAATTTCCTGCTGGTTTCTTCCTGGTTTGTGGTGACTTGAGCAAAGTTTACATTAGTTTACAGCCAATAAATTGTTTGTTCAAAATGGGTTACAACCGGTTATGTACAATGGTGGAACCTCCCAAGCTGCACCAATGGTCCTCCTCACACAACAGATTTACTTCTGGTTGGCACTGAAGTATTTTCCCAGAGTTACTCCTGGTATGCAGCAGTGGATCTGGTGGGAGGCAGGGGGTGGGGGGCACGGGGAGAGCACTGGCGCGCAGGCACCCCCTTTTGATTCCTGCTCCACCCGAAGTTTAAAATCAACTGCTCAGCTGGGGCAGCTGCATTTCTAGCCACAGTGCTGAGGGGGACACTTGACTTCATGGCTTTTTGTCACCTACCTGATCCCTTCTATACTCTTCATTCCACATGGGTTAAAAACCCTCGCTCCTTTTTAATGGTCTTGATGGTCCACCAGTCAAGCCATGCTTTGTTCTGCAATTCTGCTGCCTGTTGCCTGCTCCTGGTCATGACGCTCCTATTTCACAGCCCTGCAGACTATTTTTAGCTCATTCCAATAAAGTTATTCTTGCTTTTGCTTCAATCTTAAATTGAAAAATTCAGTCCCAGGCCCCTAGCACATCAGGAAAGCGTCTAGTTTATTTTTAACTGGAGAAAAAAATGTGAGGATGCCCCTCGCTATCTGCAGCCCCCTTTTCAAAATCCTAGATCTGCCTATGCTAGTATGCAACAGGTGTACCCTTGGTTACGCTTGGTTTGCGCAGAACCAGATCTGCCATTTGGAGTGTAAACAGAAATGAAACAAAGGCAACAGGAAGCCTAGCATTCACTTCTATATTTTATATTCAGCTCAGCAACAAAATTTTGCTGTGCTATAGGAAGCTTGGTGGGTTTCCTGAGAAGTCTGGGCTCCCCTTTGCCCCAGGACTGGATTTGGTTCCCCCTCCCTCAAAAGAGTGTGCCTTGATGTTTCTTTTCCTCCTTTCTGGATCACTTCTCAGCTTCCACCTCAAACACTTTGATCAGCACCCTCTGGGCATCTTCAGTGACCTTGTCCACAAAGCTCCTTATCATCTTGTACGTAGTGGCAAAAGACAGTGCTCCAGAGGCCATGGAGGCCAGCACGGGGGCAGTGCTGACCACCTGCTTGGATAACTTTGGCACCATGCTGGTTGCTTGAGTCAGCAGCTGCACCACCAGCGTCTTGGAGACCGCTTTGGCCAGAGGTGACTTGACCAAAGCCCTCAGCTGTCCCACAGGCTGATCCATTTGTGCTGCCAGTTTCTCTAAAGAGTTGTCATCCAGGCCAAATGTCTTGCAGTAGCCTTGTAATGTCCTGACCAAGAGGTCCACATCGCAGGAGATGGAGAGCCCAGGGATGGGCACAGTGTGGATACCACTGGCCACAGTTGAGACCAGCCACATGTGCTGCAGCATGGAGGCTTTCTTCTTCTCCAGGATTTGCAGGGAGATGCCTGGCAGGGCCAGCAGGAAGGTTTCCCATTTGTGGTGTCTCAGCTCCTTCTCCAAGGTCTCCTTCAGGAGGTGGAAGTCGTACTTGCCCAGCTCAAAGGCAGAGAGCAGGAAGACCCTGGAAAACTCAATCTCTTGGGCCCGCAGGCCCTCCTCGCAGTCCTCCTGGATCTCCTGGAGCACCCCTGCCTCACTGTAGCTGGACGGTCGGCGCTGGAGAGAGGAGTCCAGGTCCACATCCACTTTGGAGCGGACAAAGTAGAGGCTCTTGCCCATGCTCTGGATATGGTGGGCCAGCACGGCATGTTGGGCTGTGAAGTGCTGTGAGGCGATGATGATGAAGATATTGCAAGATGAGAAGCCAAGCTGATCTAGGTAGGCCTCTGGGTAGATACCAAATGTGCTGATTCCTGGAAGATCCCAGATGGTCACATTGGGGTACTGGGGGTGCTGGTATGGGGTCGGCTCCTGTGTGGTCTCCACCACACCAGTACGGGCAGCTCCTGCATCCTCATCTCTCAGCCCCCGGAGCGCGTTGACAAAGGATGACTTCCCAGAACCTGTTTCACCCATGATGACCATGTCCAGGTGGACAGTCTCTAGTGACTCCAGGATCTCTTGCAGCCTGGATGCTGCTCCAGCAAGGGTGCCCTGCTCAAAGGCAGCATTCAGGGTTTCCATTTCCTCCCTTGACAGTGTGATGCCATCCTCTCTGCTCTGGGTAGCCATGGCAGCTCCTGCCAGCTGCTGTAGTTCCTGCTTTGCATGAGGAAAAGCTGATTATTTGCATGAATTCTACAGACTATGGAGCTGCTGAGGGCTCAAGGTCCCCAGGATAGATCTCAGTAGGGCTGATAGATGATGGAAGGAGGGAAGATTCTTTAGTCGTTAGAGCAGGAGTCACTTTGCTCTAACGACTAGATGCCAATCCCCTTCCAGAACCTGGAAGTCCTGACTCCAAGCCTCCCTGGTCTAAATGCTAGAGTCTACTACTCCCCCAGGGCCAGGGACAGACCCTGGAAGTCCTGACTCCGTTCTTCTGTTCCCCTTCACCCACCTCCCAAGCTCTGCATTTAGATGTGTCTGTACAACTGTGGATCTCAAGCCCATGACAGAAGCTCCAACATGAACCCCAGGGCCAGGCTACTCACATTCAAGTTAAGTTGGCCTCTAGACTCAGCTCTCCCCTGGGTCACTCAGCTTCTTATGCCTGGGGGTGTCTCCTACATCACAACGGGCTGCTATGGAGGTGTGACCACATCTTACAGCCATATCCTGATTGGCTGAATAAGTCTTCTTATATGACATCAGCAGCCACGGTGCTGCGCCATCAGCCTCATGATTCATGTGCATAAACTGCACATCTACTGTCCTTTCCACGTACAATAAGCATCCACCCACTAGCATGTATAGACACTGGAGGTGGTGGCAGGGGAGGGGAGTGGGCTAGAAACAAAGCGTGTAATATTCCTTGTCACACATCATTTTGACTGTGTTCCCTACATTGCAAGGTAGGCTGGCAAGGTACTAAAAGGTACTGGTAAAAGAGGCAAGGGACAGATCAACAGCCCCACCTTGCACTGTTAACTCCTACAAAACAGAAGAACATGCACTTGCCCCGGTGTTTTCCTGGCTACCTGTGTTTGTGCAATATAGATTCTCATGTGTGGCAGGAAGAGGCAGGAGGATTGAAGGGTTTGGGGTGCAGGTGATTTCCTCATTGGTCCTGGTCAAATGTCAGTGCCCAGGCAGGGACCATTATGCCATGGAGGTAACCAGGTGGCTGAGAAAGGGGTGCCAGTGTGCAGGCTTTGGATTCCTCAACAACAGGCAGATGATCCAAGGAGAAGGATTACTATCTACGGGATCCACCTGACAAGGACAGAAAAGAGCATCTTTTGGTATCCTCTGGCTAACCTATTAAGGAGGGCTTTAAATGAAGTTCCACAGGGGAAGGTGGGGAAAAAAATCTTCCAGCACAGCTGGAGGGAAGAAGCCCAAAAGAAGCATCTTCAATCAGGAGAAGGTCTAGAGAGCCACAGGATAGCCAAAAGGAATGCAACAGGAAACTGTAAGGTGAAATGTAATATACCTCAGATCATAGGCAAATTGAGCTGGAAAGGACCTCACAAGGTCATCTAGTCTAGCCCCTGCTCCAAGCAGGATCGTCCCTGACTAGATCATCCCAGCCACATGTGTGTCTAACCTGCTCTTGAAAATTTCCAGGGATGGAGATTGCACAGTTTCTCTAGGCAGCCTGTCCCAATGCTTGACCACCCCCAGTCAGGAAGTTGCTCTTAATCTCCAACCTAAATTTTCCCTGATGCATTGCTCTTAGTCGTGTCCCCTAAGGCCACAGAGAAAAGCACATCTCCTTCCTTTCCATAATTGCCCTTCAGGTATTTGAAGACACTTAGCAGATCCCCTCTCAGTCTCCTCTTCTCCAAATGCAATAACCCTAGTTCTTGCAGTCTTTCCTCAGAAGTCTTGTTTCCCAGGCCTTTTATGTTTTTGGTTGCTCTGCACTGGACACTTTCCAATACCTTCACATCCTTCTTGAAGTGTGGGGCCCCAGCTGAGGCCTCTGCTAAAAAGAGAAGAATCACTTCCCTGGATTTGCAAGTGACAGTCCTGTATGTATACAAATAAAAGGAGTATGGAGAACAAAAAGGATGGACTGAAAGTCAAGCCTGTAAAGAAAACTATTACAGAGACCTGGTGAGACATCTCTTTTGACTGGAGCCTCAGCATTGAAGGGTACACTTTCAGAAAGACAGAATTGGGAAAAAAGGGTGGTGCTACTGTAGTACATCAAAAATACACGTACTTGTTCTCTGGTTTAGGAGGAAGAAGATAACAGATATGAGTGTAATTTGAGTGAAGATAAAGGGGGAAAGGTACAGTGGTAATATAATGGCGGAGATTTATTATAGGGAACCAAGTCAGGAAGAAAAGGTGGATGAGATACTTTTGAAGGAGATGACAAAAGTATCCAAAAAGTATGAGATGATACTTATGGGAGACTTTTACTTTCCAGATATCTGCTGGAGGAATAATACAGCAAAACATAAAATGTTGAGGGAGTTCCTGACTTGTGTAGAGAACGACTTTTTATTCCAGGAAGTTGAGGATGTGACTGGGGCATCATCAGTCTTGGATCTTGTCCCAACCAGTAGGGAAGAATTGGGTTGAGGACATGAAGGTGATGGGAAACATGGGAGGAAGTGATCATGGCAGGATAGAGTTATGGTCTGAGACAGGGAATGCAGGAGGTCAGCAGAACTAAGACCCTGGCTTTCAAAAGGATGGATTTTAACTGACTCCAGGAAATAGGCAAGGTGCCATGGGATAAAAAGGTCCAGAAGGATTGGCAGTTTCTAAAGGGCATGGTATTGGAAGCTCAACAAGAACCACAGTGGCTGCACAAGTTGCTTCTAGGAAAGCATACAGGCAATGGAAGGGCTGGCAGGTATTAAGGAAACATACCAAGAAATAGTAAGAACTACAGGAACAAAATCAGGGAGGCAAAGGTAAGAGAATGAGTTAAATTGGGCAAGAGAGGCTAAGGACAATGAGAAGAGGTTCTATAAATACACTGATCAGAAAAGAAAGACCACGGAAACTACAGGTCCCCTGCTGAATAGCCAGGGTATGCTAGAACCAGACAGGTAATAACAAGTATGCAGAGAAGGGAGGGGTCAGGATGAGGAAATGACAGACCTTATATTTCATATTTTCTGCAAACCCTCAGGGAGGAATGCTCACTGGAATGACTGGTGGGGTTCGTAGAAAATGAGGGCTGGAAGGGACCTCAGAAAGTCACACTAGTCCAACCCCCTGCTCAAAGCAGGACCAGCCATAACTACATCGTCCCAGCCAAGACTTTGTCTACCTGGGTCTTAAAAACCTCCATGGATGGAAATTTCACCACCTCTCTAGGTAACCTGTTCCAGTGCTTTACCACCCTCCTAGTAAGAAAGTTTTTCCTAATAACCAACCTAAACTTTCCTTGCTGCAACTTGATCTAAGTTGTAAGATCTGGCCAGGGTGCTGGCTTGGACTGGGATTTTGTTCAGCAGAGGAGTCTGGGGAATAAGATCAGTCTGTAGCCAAGGACAGGCAGTCGGAGGGTTGGGACCGGGCCTGGAGCACTCCAGGGTGACCACCACCCCAGGCATATGTTGCAGTAGCCCAGGAGGGGATGGAGTGGAGAGTAAGATGTGACTGCTGATGGTCACATAGGCCCCCTCCTCTGCATCTCAGTCAATCCCAGTCAGCCACAGCTACTGACTGCGGGTGGGGAATGGGTAGAGCACCTGGGAAATGGGGAGAGGGAAGGAACATGTTTATCTCTGCATAGATAGGCACTAGAGTGCCAAACTGTCCTTAAGGGAATGAACTGGCCACTATGAGTGAAAGCCCCAAAGAAAAGCCTCTAACGTCCCACCTGAAACTTGTATACATGGGGTGCTCAACACCCGGCCCATGGAGCCATGGCACTCAGCCTGCAGGGCTCCCCATGGATCAGGAAATTTGGCAGTAGAGCAAAAGTGGCAATTAATATCACCACCCCTCCACAACTGCTAAATTACCAAGCCCCGCACAGGCAGATTGGGCTCAGGCTACCCCCCGCCACTGTGCCCTTCTGCAGTAGAATTGGGGCTGGGCTGCTTCCCTACCTCCTGCTCCCTCCATGTGGCAGAGTCAGGGCTGAAGCACCCTCCCCTACCCACGCAGCAGGATCAGGCCTACAGGCCGGATCTGGCCCATGGGCAGACTGGCACTGGCCTTCTGGCCTGCAGGAAGAAAAGGTTGAGCACCACTGTGCTATACTAGAAGGCTTACCTCTGCCCCCCCAGCATGGACCCAATGAGACCCTTCCTCAGCCCAAGCCAGGCATGAAAGGGGGAGCTGCACCCTCTTGGCAACCAGCCCAAGGACAGTCCTACCCCACACACAGAACTCAAGGGGTCGTTACCAATCCCCTCCCCTGCTGTCATGGGACAACTGAACCTCCACCAGTATTTGACTGACTCTCTGGCTGTCTCTAGCTCCCCCGCTCCCGCCCCCAGATCTAACACAACCCTCACCTGTGAGTGACTTTGGGTTCCCCTCCAGCTCTCACTAGCCCATCACCAACAACCCACAAGGGATCATATATGGGAGCATCCATGCCCCAGGCCTGGTATGTGGCTGGTCACTGCCCAGATGTTGATGCAGGAGGCAGGGAGCTGACAGCCTGAGGGGGTGTTGCTGCTCACCAGCTGGTCCAGTGGCCAGCCTTGTAGACATCATCTTCAGGCAATGGGAGGGTGAGTTGGGAGGGTTGTAGGATGGGCTGGCAGGTGACTCCAGCACCTTGATGTTGGAGGAGTCCAAGTTGTGTTTCAGTGGCTGGTGTATTTCCTGCTCCAGGATCCCAAACTGGAGGGACTCCGTGGTATCCTTCTGTCCTCCATCCTGAGTCTGATGGCTCCTTGCTGTCCTCGGCCTCTATCTCACTGCTGTTGTTGGGGTTCCAAGTTCCCCCTGGAGTCAGCCATGAAGCAAGGTGCTGTGGACTCATTGCTGGCTACGTGCGTACCAGCTCCTCATGAGATGGGCATGTCACTGGCTGGGCTCCCAAAGCATAGTGCCATGAGTATGGCACTATGCGACATTGGTCAGGCTATAGTTGGAGTACTGCATCCAGTTCTGGGAGTTGCACTTCAGGAGGGATGTGGACAGCA